ATGGATGACTCTATAGATCACCAACTATCCTAACAGTTTATAAAAATTTTGAGTCAATTTGTGAGAGCATGTCAGGGTGGCAATCCGACAACGAGAAGTACTGAAGACTCTACAATTAATCGAGCGATTTGTAGCAAAAAAATCAAAACTATGGGATAACGGTAAAGGTTGCTCCCAATGTGGCACTATTTATATCATACATTACTTTTATTTAAACGATTCTCAAGCAACAAGATACAAATAGAAGAACTCCTTGATGCACTCTTTACTTACAAAAAAGATAATACAATATAATTTTAATTATGCGAGAGACTCTATATAATTCAAAGATTATTTACAAACGCGGGGTACAAGTTTGACAGGACTCTAGGTCCCCCTAAAGCAATATCGACTAAGCGACAATAAATAATAATTAATAAACTGTAAACTACAATCCATTTACGATGCCATTTAAGGTTTTAATGACTTCAACTAGAAGAGAGAACATTGCAACTACTTCGATAGTCATACTAGTCAGTCAGTCTCACACGTGTATTAGAAAGATGCTGGACTTACATGACTTATTTCCCGTGAGGACTGCGAAGACTGCTTTCTAGGGTAATCTCGTGCGTTGTCTCTGGAACGTAGTGGAGATCTCGACGACTGGATGAGTGCTTCTTGCCGATCTCGGGTATTCTTCACCAGACTTATACTTCTTCTACGACTTGGTGTAAAGACTTAACTAATCGACTAGCAATTATGACTATCTGTCTGACTTGATACGTAGTACTTATTTATACGTTTGTCGTACAACGTACGGAAGCCGTAATTGGCAATATCTCTTGCTGCTGCCTGGATCTGATATCGCTTATGACGCCTTCCAGTTGAGAGTGGCGTCTTGAACGCCGGCTGGTTCACTCGTGGTGGCTGTGCCCCCTTCCAAGGCTCTATTTCTCCCGCCCATTCCGTGTTCAGCTCTACAGGTGGTGGAACGCTGAAACTCATGGATGAGTATGAGTATGGGTTGGTAAGGTGGAGAAGAGCCCAAGACATATCAGCGGTCGATGACTGCTCGTTGGTCGAGCCCAACACGTCACATAACAATAGGCAAATTTTGAAAATGAGCAGACAAAAACCCAAATGTTAATTCCGCAAATTTATACAGGGCTCAATGTTGTGACAAACAGCCCTAAAGCTTATCTCAATAATCATATCCGTTAAAAAAAAAATTGTTCTCAATTGTGATTCTGATATTAAATTAGAATATTTACGAAATTATTGTTCAGTAACAACTCGTCAGTGAAGTTCTAACAGTGCGTAAGTCATTTTTTGGTTGTTTTAACATTTTGATACCACTCGTTAAAGATTGGCCGCGCGCTTCGTTACGACCAATCAGAAATGAGATAGCTAGCCAATACTTTTCCCAAATAACGTATGCTTCTTATGTAGCTAACTAAAATTTTACGCAGTTATTTTGCTCTCCTGTAAAATAGACTTTTTTGACTTACGCACTGTTAGAACTTCACTGACGAACTAATTGTTATGTTGCGACTTTTGTTTGATAATTTAAGTGACATAGAATTATTTTAGTACATAACCACGTTTTTCACTTATATTTTTGACTGTTGAAACCCGTAAAACTTACTACGCATCAAAATCTGAATGAATAATTACATTTTTGCGAACTTTATCCAGACACAGTTCAGAATTTTAAATCTCTTTTTAAATTCAGGTCTTATTCTGTCGCTATATTCCCGCATCAAAGGAAAAGAAACTATGTCAGATTTTTTTGTCAACTCGGGTGAATGTATAAAAAAATGCTAATAATTTTTTTTGAGAAAAAATCTCAATAGAAGTATTTGCATTGAATTTCAATGATGAATGTACTATCATATAATGTGGAATTACTTACGATCTCATAGCGTTTTAGACACAATTACTTAAGCTCTTCAAATTTCTGTTCAACACGACTTAATTTTATTAACTTCAACATAACATTTTTTTTCTTAAATGATGCTAGCCCTATTTTTTTTGTTAGAAAAACGGATAATCATTAAAACTAATAGAAAATACATTTTTTAATCGTAAACAATTTATTTCTTTTAATATTTAGTCAAAATAACGATGAGACATGTTGACGTTAAAATGAATGATTTTTCTTCAATTATCGAAAAAATTATAGCAGAGAGAAGTGCTGCGATAACCTATTCCACTAACTTCTGTATGTATCAGACTAATAATTAACGCTTCGTGAATTCAAAATTATTTAACTTAGAATTTATACAAATTAATTACAGATTCAACAATTCAGAAGTTTTATGATCATCGGTAGTTACACTTTGATTAAATGCAGTACGAATGACGGACGAATTATAAATTCTATGAGCTGCTTCAATATGACATAGAAATTGTGAATTAATGTTAGCAAGTAATGAGAACAATTATGTACATATAGATTAAGTAGCTCATTCCTGCGACTTCGTCCGCGTAGATGGTATGTGACTGGTATGAACAGTAATAAACTGGAAGAATTAATGTACGAAAATTAGAAACTATGATAATCTTTTAGCTATTGTAAAGAATTTTTTTATGACTTTCGACAATTAATGTGACATGCTGTGTGTATCTCAATATCTATTTTTCTAGACACTCTGATGACCTTCGATCAATAGACGTGTAAATACTAAATATTATATTAGTATTTTTTTTGCAGCGTGAGGGAATATCTATCTTCCTTTTTTTTATTTCTATCGATATATACGGGCGGTCAAATCATATGCTAAAAAGAATTATAGTAAAGGACTTGGCTAAAGACGCATTAATTGTGTTTCCACTTTATTGAGACATTTTAATGTATAAAAAAAATATTCTTAGAAAAATATCGCAAAAACTTATTGTTGATGTCAAATTGCATTTGGTATGAATAACATTCAGCTGTCCGAAAATGTTCACCGTCATCTTCGATGTTACTATGCCGATATTTGCCCAACCTCTTATATATATTGACCACTCCATCGCTGAAGCCATTTTTGTTTTTTTATTTATGATGAATAATTATTATTATAAACGATTGTGATTATCAAAAATCATGTGCAGTCATTTACAATCATATTATGTTACATAACCTTATCAATTTTGCATAAAATAATGTATAAAAATTTGTAAATAATTTAAACCTGATGACCTGACCACTCTCCTCATGATTGAGTTATGAAGCAAGAAATGTTGTTAATAGCTAGCTCATCATAATAAAATGAATAAGTGATAAATTTTTTTCGTTGAAGATAGTGAATTTTTATTATTCTGTGTGAATTTAAATGATGATTTCTAATTCTATGTTGATATTTCGACATCGGCTTTATTGCTCTTTATGTCAAATATTACTTTATTTTTTAATTTAAAGCAGTTATAAAAGTCGATCTTAAAACGATTTTTCAATATAAGATCGACAAAATCTGAAGAAAATTTCGAATAAAAGTCTTTAATTGATAATAAATAATGTAACACATAGGAAAGAAAGGAAAACGATTGAATTTTTCGATATTATGCTAAGAAATCATTTTGAGATCGATTGGAAAGAATTCTGTAATACCGAAAAATTGGCATGATAACTGTAAAATAGTTAGCTTGCTCTTTTTCATTTCTTGAGATGGAATACCTCAAAAAATAGGCGTAAAGTGAGAACAGTGAAGTGATAGAAATCTTTGGTAGACGGTAAAGAACAAAAAATGTCCTATAAAGTATCGTCGATTTCTGCATAACTAAAAAGTTTTTAATAAAATTATGTATTTTTTATGAGCTAAAATTGTTTATAAGAAAAAAAACTCAATGATGCGCAAATTTTTTCTGCCTGTGAATAGCTTTTTCGGAATCCTTATATAATTTTACGTGAAAAAACCTTCGTTTAAAATAGGAGGGCAGATTTGGTAATTAAATTGCAACCTTACAGGACTATTTAGAAAAGTTTATTATGGACTCGCTGTGGAAATGATACTAACAAACGAGTAGTCTGACATTGATTCTCTCTTTTCGTTTACATCAATTAAATTTGCTTTGAACAATTCAAAAGAGATTTATGCAATGTATTCAAGTTACTAACCATGTAACATAAATCTAAAAGAAACTTTTTTTATTTATAACAATTGAATTTGTTACATACACTCGAAATCAGAAGCTACGCAATGAATCTGAGTTTCACTGAAAAGATGTTTTTTTCTTAACAAAGCGAAGTTATCGTCTATGTAACATAAACATGAATGGACTTTTTTCGTTTATAGCAATTAGATAATTGTAGAGGAGCAGAAATTGTATCTCCTGGTGAAATTAAAATTTTTGATGTCTATTTTTAATACGTATGGATTTATAACTTTCCTCTCAATGCCATCATAAACCTATACGTATTTGGAATTGACTTATTCAAACTACGAACTTACTGTGTAAAACTTTTTCCGAAGAATCTATAACTACGGAACGCATTTATGCACATCACGTGGACGAAGTCACAGGAATCAGCTAGTATATATGTTGGCTTTTCCATTACACTCTTGAATCTGATCTTTTCATACTTTATTATCACGAGCGCACCTTCATATGCACATATTTTTGTTCACCATGCTGAATTAACCATGAATTAGATTATTCACCTCGTGTCAAGTTTATTTGTGTTCGTGGGATATTGTTCGCATCTTTCCGGTTTAATGAAGCTAATCAGTTGATACAGGTTTTTTGTTTTCTGGTCTAAAAACGATCGGTGCCCATATGTAAGGATATTGATACTTAGTACATTTTCGTTTAGTGAATTGGCACCTACGCAATCAGAAATTATAGCAACTCACTCTGACCTCCGTATATTGCACCTTTTGGTACCTCTCCCTAGCCTAATAGCTGTTAACGGAGATAAAACAAGGCAGTCGTACTCCGAACGTTGGAGAAGACGCGTGTCGGTTTCGTTGAAGTACATTATTTTTTTTTACAAAGTTTTGATCACCCAACAATTTCTATTTCCGAATAAAACAAGAACGATGGACTTGAAGAACAGATATGCATTTGTTGCAATGTTCGATGGTAAAAAAGTGAAAAAATATTTTAAAACTTTGGAAGAGCTTGTTGGAATTGAATGGATCACAGAAACGAAGTTTTGGACCCGTAATGAGGATAGTGCTTATTGTGAAGGAATAGTACTAGCGAAAGACGGTAAGTAATTTCATTCGTTTCATGTACGCAGTGAGGGGCATTTCCTATCGCCCTGAAAATAACTGATTCAATTTTTTATTTTGTTATTTTACACAGATAGTATTGGCATTTTTTGGTTATTGCTATGAAAGTAGAGTTTTGCGTGTGATTAAGTCTTAGTATACGTGCTAACGTACTCTGTGCTATGGAAAATCAACCGTATTGTTCAGAAGAACTTTAGATTTTGTATCTCTTCTACTTAGTTTATTTTGTCAATTATGGGTTTTGATCATTAAAAAGTTCAAAATTACGCAATTCATTGTTTAATACCACATAAAAGCCCCAAATAAATTATTCATACTGAATTACCAAACTGAATAAAAAAAATTTATCTCAAACTTTTGGACTATATTCTCAACAATGATTATATAGTGCGCTACTCATTTGATATATGAGTACAACTATTAAGTATTTATTAAACCCTCTCTATCTTTTTGTACATGTTAATAAAATGTCACACCAAGTACGCACATTAAGTAACTCTAAAAATTAAAGTTTCCATGCAATAAAAAGTGAGGTTTCTCAATTCCTTACTAACCAATAATGTTGAAATGCTGAGACGATCGTTCTCATTGGTTTTTACCTTTTGCGATATACAATTTGAATGGAAATTTTTATGTATAGTACATTCTTGATAAATTAAAAAATGTATCTTTGTAGACAGAAACATTTTATTAGACTTTGCCCAATTCTACCATGTAAAGAAGTAATCTTAAGTGTTTTGAATAAATTGGTTTAAATTCAGCAACATATGACAACGTGTTTTTCTCTTTTGATAGTACTATTGCATAATCGAAATTTCTATTCATTACAGAAAATGAACGAACACTTCGAGACCGAGTATCAAAAAAGTCCCTACGGATTCCTCACAATGCTTTCAAGCCATTTCCAGATCCGGTAACTGCTATTTGATTTTCAAATTATTTCTCAAACTCCCACTCAAGAAAAAATATAAATTGACAAAAAGTTTAACAGGATAAATGAATTTATACTTGCGTTGTTGCCGAACACGAAAAAAGGTGGAGCTAGTTGTAGAAATAGTGTGATTGGTTATGACAAACGACAACTTCACTTAACTGTCCTCATGCTGTTCTTAAATTTCGTACGTTTGTTATGAATCTTCTACACGTATCGATAGCATGACGCAAATAATCCCTCTTACTCATAAAACACATATTTGTTCACTGAAAATTGTTTTATTAATACAATTTAATGATAGCACAACTTTCAATCGGTAAACAAACATCTATGATTTAATATCTACCGTTTGAATGTAATATTGATATTTGAATAGTTAAACATTTAAAAAATCAATTTTGAGTCGATGAATTGTTTGTAGCAATAATACTATAATATTTATGACAAACCATTCGTATGGTTTTTCTCGGGCCACCGTGAGAGGAAGGATCTTTTCGGAGAGCCGGTTGTATCGACACAGATTATCTGCAGTTGCCTTGTGTCTTCGTGTAAATGCGATACAATGGTTAGGGTGTAAGTTGGCTGCAGACGCAACTCAATGGACTATGTGTGTAATAGTTTATCGGGCAAGTAGAAAATGGGTGAACATAAAGAGGGAAAGAAGAAGAGGGATAGTGAATAAAGTATTGTAAAACGCCGGGTCCTACCCAAGCATACAATTAGAATAAATAAAAAATACTCATAATTATAATATTTGTTGCATTAAACTAATAAGTTGACTCCAAATTGATCAATCAATCTCCAGAAAGATTATAAATGGACTGAGGTAATAATTTCGGATCTTCAACTAGTTAAGCGTCTCAGATGATTTATGCCTGTGGTATTTGAACTCCATTTTAATTAATTTTAATTGAGTTCCAGAATGTACAACCAATAAATTTAGTTGAAAAATGGAAGAAAAAGCTAGCCAAAATGGCGATGAACGACTACTCTATTTTTAAAAAATACCGCCAACAGCTCACCGGAGAAAAATTCACAGAAAGTCAGATGCCAAAGAAATCATCAGTTGAAACCATAAAGGATAAAGAAGTGAATGGATCAACCATTTTACGTAACCTAAAGGAGCATAAAGTAGATCACCACGCAATCGCAGAAGAGGTTTGTCGCTTAGATCAATAAGTGGTATAACAGATATCTAACTTTCGATAATTCATTTTTTCTCTAGATTGGACTACAACAAAAAGATGATTCAACGAATTTCACTAAAAAACAGCCCATTAAAGATGATCAGCAAGCGAATATCCAAAATAATATAACTGAAATGTTATCAGAAAAATCGAGCGAAGATGATGAATCACCTTTCAGCTCAAAAAAAGTAAGATTCATTTTTTCATAGTTCGATTATTGAATCTTCAAATAAAAATAGGTCTGAGCACACTTTGTCTGTGCAAACACGACGAACTTCTCATTTTTAATTGTTAATAACAAATTCGTATTGTCATACACAATGCGTAATTGTTGAGTGTCATATTTGGTTGTAAACAATAATGTCTAGTCAATATCGACTTAATTTTTAAAAGAAATTGTTATTGTTTGGCTTAAAAGTATTTTTAACAGCTAATTGTTTTTAGATTTTTTATTAGTTATTTTGTTATAAAAAAAAAATGGCTCGATCGAATTCGTTCAAATTTTTTTCAGATCTTCTTTATAATAATATCTTTCGAATTAATTTTTGTTGATATCTTGATCCGTTCTTAAGATATCGAAAACGAATAAAATGCTGACGACCGTACATACGTACGTACATACATACATACGTACACACACACATCATTCTAAAAATATGTCAGTATGCTTGCAAATATCTTAAAACGTGGAGATTTAATGAAAATTCAAATTTCACAAATCGACTCAATTAGAATAATTTCCTAATGGGAAGTTAATAAACTTAAAATTAATTTTACTAGGTCCATATTTTTTCGTTATGAGAATATTACAACATTTTTAAATAATTGCGAAGTCACTTGTTGGGATATTGCTATTATATATGTAGAACTGAAAAAACTAGTGAAACAGTTACGAATGCTTCTACTTGGGTAGATTTACAGGAAAAGAAAAACTATTATTAGCCCTACTATACCAAGAACCGCTCTAAGTACACGTTAATGAAATGTTGACTTTGTAATTTGTACTGTAGAAGAAGCCGTACGTTTTGGTTAAATTCAGCTTAAATTTTTATCAGAGGAATATTATGCGATGACTTTCATTTTGTTTTTACAAATGTGTTAGAATATCACGCACAGAGTGTGTTCAATGCAAAGTGTCCACAAACAGACTATTCATCGTTTGTCGGCACTTCTTACACACTTTGAATTTGTGAGAAATCTAAAGTTTGTTTACGACATTCAATATTCAACAGGCTTAGCGTACTGAGAGTATGTACAAGGATAACCTAATTTTATTAGCAGTACTGGCATGACAGCGATATATTTCGTCATAAGAGCAGGTTTTTTTTCCTGTGTTGTCAATTTATTATTGCACTTATGCCGTTCCTCAGGATCGTTTTATATTTAATGTGAAAAGTGAAAATTAATTTATAAAATTAAACTTATGTTATGTTGATATCAGAAACAATAAATTAATGAGGAATTTACTGAATTTTACAATATTATCAAATAAAATTTTGCTTTCTAAAATAAGTTCTTGAAAAATCAGTTGAATCCCTTCTGTTGAGTAAAAATCTTATTGATAAATCCATTTATTTCCAAAGGCCGTGCCATTCGTCGAAAATGGAAGTAAGATTTTAACATTCACTAATCCAGAAAAAAAAATACTAAAACACACTTTTGTCATTCAGCCGAATCAGTCAACAACAATGGAAAAAGAAGCAACGAACGAAGTAAGCACGATTATTGCTCTTGTACTTTTTAGATATTCGTGTAAAGTAGCTTTTTATATCAAAATCGTATGATGCAAATTTATAATTGGAGTCAAATTTTTTGTCTATAATATCGAATAATCGCCTGTTATTTGGCTAATCCAGTTTTCTGTATGTAATTACTGATAGGCAAAGTAAACTATCATTAACTTTGAACGATAAGTGACATCATGGCCAAATTATGTTTAATGAAGGTTTCTCAACTACGGGATAAATTATTCAAGACTTACAGTAGGTTTTTTACATGATTTTTAGAGTCTGCAATCACTGATAATGAAGGTTGTATTTTGTTCCTTTTTTTTTTAATTTAGTTAGAAAATAATTAGAATTATTCGATTCATTTAATTCTTTTTTTTTTTTATTATCCAGTAGAAAAGAATACAAACAGACCATCTGATAACATTTATGAAATTATTCTTATGACCTTTGGAATATATTCGATTTTATTCGGAACTGTTTTATGTACACAGATTGTACATGGATAAAAAGTAACTGCAAAAGAATTGGTTCGGAAAAATTATATAGTTTAATGATTAGTAAAATTCCACCAAATCTACGCAACTAATTTTAGTTAAGGAAGAAACTACTTGAAATCTTATTTCATTTGATATTAAAAAGTCAAGAAGAGTCTTATATTACTATTACATTTTTTTCTGTCGTAATGGAAATACTATCTTTTCAGGACACGATTTACAGAAAAAAATATAAGAAACTACGCAGGAAATATCGATTATTAAAGACGATATTCATTGGACAGCAGAATCAGTATGCGAGGGATTTACAAATTCAGTATTTTGCTCAAAGTCTGTATAAAGCCATTAAGAAACGCTATGATTATGATGAAGACGATGAATAATCATTGAATTCACTGGATTTTCGAATATTTATTATTTCAATAATTTTTAAATTTTACGCAATGTCGATGTTTTTAAAAATGTATTATCAATAAGGCAATAAAGCAAAAATTGAGCTCCAGACCATTTATTGTCGGCATTAGATAGAAATATTTTACACTTTAATTTAGACTGTAAGAGTGCTAGTGGAATGAGAAAAGTTATTGAAAAAACGAGTACAGTCATAATTGAAAAAAAATGTATGTAAACTTGGAATAGCATAATTGGTATAGCGTCTAGGGCTTAAGGTTGAGGTGAACAACAAATTTTTGCTTTATTTTGGAGAGTACAAAAACTATGTCAGTAAATAAATCTGATCGATAGAATACGCTGCTGTGTATTTATTTATTCTCTGAAAAAGAATTATAATCAGCCCATCTCTAACTGGGAGGTTCACGTTTGATTCCTGGTTCCCGAATTGTCTCTTTTCCGGAAAAATCGTCTTATGCATTGACTGGCCATAAAATCACGCTATTTACTATTGAAAGTTTTTTGAGTACAATTATGATACTTTATAACAGTTGGATCTACATTTTAATATGGAGTGATTGACAATAATTGTCACACATATTCATCGAAATACAATTTTATTCGCTTTCGTTTAATTACAGCATTGTTTTCATACCGAATTAAACTGGGCTTTCTTCTTATTTCAACAGAACATACTCAATTTAATTATACAAGAAAAAAAAGTGAAAAAAAAATCAAACCAAATTTACTCTAAATTAGAATCTATTGCAATAATTTTTAAATTTTTAATAAAAAGACATTTACTTGCTGACGTTTCAAAATATTCAGATAAACGATTTAATAGATTCCTGTTGTAGACACAAATCTGTACAACACCAATACCATTCAAACGATACGTTGACACTTAAATTCAATTTTATTGAATAACAAACATTCCATAAATAATATAATATAGTAATGTTACAGAATTATTCGAATTATATTTTGAAAGTTTCTGTATTTTATTTACATCGTCCACAAAAAAAATGTTATTGTTTTTTTTACCCTAATGTCCTATAAAAATATACGGGACTTTAGTTCTGCCTGACTTTATCTTGTCAGGATGAACTTTGGGGATTCTAGTGCGGCGTATCACTTGGTGATGGCGTGATCATTTGTTTCTTTCTCACTCAAATATGATTAGCCACCGTTGCACGCTGCCACTAACAACCTCCGGGCCCAGTTTCTACTATTTAATCAGAATCTAGCGTTAGATATAATTAATAATTAATTCATATATTCACTGTAATTTATAAATAAAAAATTTTAAGTAGAAGAGCAAAGGAAATGTAAGAAACAGAATTTGGAAGAGAGTGAGACTAATACGTATAGTTCAGTAAGGGTGCAAATAAAAACAGGGGTAATAGAAAATCTAATCTTCCATAGTATTGATAAATTATGAATAAATTACAAATAAAATTATTTTATTGCCAACGAATTATGTAATACATAGGAGAAAAAGAATCACGATCGAATTTTCTATTATTATGCTGAGTAACCGTTTTAGGATCGACAGGAAAAAATTCCGTAACATCAATAAATTCGCATAGTATCTGTAAAATAGTTAGCACGCTCTTCGTTATTTTTTTAGATCGAATATCACAAAAAATAGGTGGAAAATAAGAATAGTATGATAACAGAAATATTCGTTGCCCTGTAAAAAATTAAAAAACGTTCCCTAAAATATTGTTGATTTTTGAATATGTAAAAATTTATGGATTGAAATGTGGGGGCTTGAGCAGGCAAAAAATGTTTATAAAAAAAAAAAATACAATGACGCGTACATTTTCATTGCCTGCGAATGGTTTTTCGGAATCCTTATATAATTTTACGTAAAAAAACTTTTGTTCAAATAGGAGGTTAGATTTGCTGATTAAATTGCACTCTTACTGAACTAGTAAGGCAAGAGAGAAGGCACTTAAAGAAGCTTGACGCAAATATATCACTGCTAAGGGCGTGGCTTATCAGTAACTTCGTTAATAATTACTGTAAAATTTTCGTTCTACACTTTATCGAAAGCTTACAATCATAAGAGTCTACCTACTAAATATAGAAGCACATTGTGCAGTCGTTACAGAGATATTTGCATGTAAAGATTCGTTAGAGACGTCACACAATATGTTTTATAGCCTCTTAAGCCGATTTCTACTTGAATATCATTTAGTGGGTAATAGGAAGAAATAATAAACATTACGAAAAATAGAGCATAATATATTTTGTGAGGTCAAAATGTTCCCTATGCACTACATTGCATTTTACACAGAAAGGATTTTGATTGAGTTGTTTCTTGAACTCTTAACGATCTAATTACATTTTTAAATATGCTTCAGTAAAAGAAGGTCACAATTTTGAGGAAAAGTAGTTTTACATCACATCTTATATGAAGGCAACAATGCGATAAAATATTACATTATAAATATAAAGCCTGATATTATTCCAGTAAATATAAGTAAATATAGACACATTTAAATACATATCACTTTACTTTTAATGTACCTAAAGTTACTTTGGGTAAAAATTGATATTTTATCATTATACATATGACATCGAGTCACTTAAGTCAGAAGTCTTATATATCAGTTCTTTGAATTCTTTGTCAATCAAAATTTTAAAGCTTACATCGCAGAATTTTGTCTTTTCTTTCCAAGTTATCTCTATTGCTTTCACAATTTATTACACTACACAATTATCATTATAATGAATCACAAATATTTAGAATCAACTACAAGCTTAATAGGTTCCTATATTTATAGGAATGAGTATTTTTTTTTTTTTTCTATCTTCTTGACTATAATTGCAGATCAAGTACATGATGTTTATAAATAACTTCTTTCGTTTAGTAGCTAAGTTTGCAAAATAAATAGCTATTTTTTCTCATTTTCGTATGATGGATGAAATATTTCTTTACTGTCATCGTTGTCTTTATGAAAAAGCTCGAAAAACATTTGGCGAGCTTCTTCTTGAGTGTTTGCTGCTGAAGTATGAATATAAATTGGTAGATGGATGTTCTTGCGGGATTTAGAGCTGCGGATTCTTGAATACATGTCAGAAAAGCTGATTTTTATACTCTTCATTATACCCTTATTCGATTCCATCCCAAATCTACAATAAAGTATTTCCTGCAACAAATCAAAATTACTTTTTATTGTTTGTAGGCAACATCTGGTATTCTTTAGATCGTATAACAACTTGACATAATAAACGTGTTTGGGAATGACATTTACTCGACGACGTGTACAACTACTAGAGTGTTACGTTTACTTATGTTCCCACAGTGAATGAAACATGAACATACGAACATGAGTGGGCAGGAGCGATCAAGACTGAAATAGAATTAGAGTTAGATAATCGAAATTTGCCAGTTCATTAGCAAACATGCTAACTCCCTCATTTAGTAATGTAGGTTTCATTTTCAACTCAAAACAAAAAATCTTTTTTCATTTTCTATGTTATCGTTATTTAGACAATAAAAATTCAGTGAAACATTTAATACAAAGGTATTTTAACAAAAATCGTATGAGTAATAAATGTTCAGTGAAATAACAAAATTTCAAATTCAGACATTAATAGTAAACACTAAATATAACAATTTGCGAGTAGTTTGTGTACAACATGTTGATCATAGACTTTCTCAAGTTATCTGTCTGTACCATAGCAAAATTAGATAAGATGAAAATATTCTGACACATTGCTGACAATATGACATGTTAAAAACATTTTTGAACTGTAACAGTATTAATTACATGAAAAATATTCATAACGACTACTGGTCCATTTACAATTTATTAGTTCAAACACAATAGCACGTAATTGTAAGGAAAATAACAATAGATTTCTGACCTTCAACTATAGCATTAATAATGTCCGCCGTCATTAAACACAAAAACTGAGAATAATTAAAAGATAATTACTCACATAAACAATTGGTAGAACCCAATAAAATGTTTAAAAGCGTCAATCGCTACCCTCCGTTATCGTAAGACTATCGTATTCTCATTTCAGTAGTGTATTTCGTAACAACCATCTGTCTCTTTCGCACACATATTGATGTGTAATGCT